ATGACAGAGGATACCAGTGACACACCCCCCCCCCCCCCACCGGGCCACCTCTGTCCAACCAGCAGTGGCATTTTAAAAAGCACCGTTAGTCGATCGGCATTTCACTTGTGGTGGGGTAAAGTGTTGGGTTTGCTCAACCTCTTTCATGAGGTCTTGTCAGCGGAGGGAGGCTCTCTAAGATCCCCCTCTAGTGGAGGTCATTCTGCCAACATTGGCGTGAGCAATCAATTTACTGGGTTGCACCTTTACATTTTCCCCTTAGAAATCAGGGCAAATGTACCACGCTGTGACTCGGGCCGCCGCCGTGTGAGTTGCTAAGTTCACGCGTGCCGATCAGTGCATTCATTACTCACATTCCATTGAAGTCAGTCACCGGTTCCCGAACTTCCAGAGGCAGTAAACAATTCTGAAAACGGATGACCGTTTCAACCGCTTATCATTTAACAACGCTACTCAGTTTACTGCGTGCAATTTTATGACCATCACGTGGCATATGCGGGATGATTGTTCTTTGTGATAACACTTATTAAAACATTCTAAAGTTATTAAAAACTTACAGTGTGAATGATCTTGTCTGCAACTTGGGTTAATACAATGACAGCAGCCGCCAAAATGTGCGATATTTTTGCATCCGCCAAACAAAGCCTGTAATCTTACTACTGTCCAGTATATTAAAATAAAATGTAGCCTTTTTCAATCGACTACTGGATGAATTCCTCCCCATGCCATGTTGGCCATGGCGGGGTTGTTGACCATACTTCACCAGTCTGATCAGTCTTGCAGATTGGTAAAGGTGACTCCCAGGCCCGATTCAGATCTAACCTACCAATGGTGTTAGCCATGGCGAGGACTCATGCTGTTGCCAGGTCCACAGTGCTTTTGTGCTAACTACTGCACCACCACTCCATCCCAAACTTAGTACAGTATATTGTATAGGACTTTTAACACGCACCGTTACTTTGAAGTACGTCATCTTTTATTGTTTAAGTCCTGTTCTAAAGATGACAGTACACTAATTATATCAACCCAAACACGGACTTGTGTTACATTGCTTTAAAGACCTCAAGTAATTCCTAATCTTAGACAGATTACTTTTCAAAAATAACTCCCCCAACCGTCCTCAACACTTATTTCCATTATACAAATAGTGGCACAAGTCATCTTTAAAGCAATGCTGAACCTCATGGCACTGTGAGCATCGACATTATAAAGCCAGCGAGATATCTAAACGTTCCTTGCTGAAGCGTTTGGGGTAGTCTGTGGATATGGTCATTGGAAAGAGGCCTTTACTCGTGGTTGACTGGTTGGTTAAGAATAATTCAGTGGGAGGGATAGTTTTGGCTTCCACCATTCCCTACTCTAGACCAAACCCGCACATATTTCCCAGTTAATACCAGGTGTATCCCAACTGTGCAGTGTACTGTGATAAAGTTCAACACGATGCTGGCATCAGATATCGGTACAAATAAATCCCTGCCAATCCAAACATGGATGCCAATTCCCGGAACGTTCCGGTCAATACCGGACAGGCGACAACACGAGGGATTGTGCTTAGTGGCCGATTGGCGAGTTCATTAGCAATCGTTTCAAAGATGGGGCTCGTACCAGTGACCGTTTATCTCGCTGTTGCTGAGGGTTTAGGTCAGTGAGAGTGGTGGTACTGGCGGTTGGCAAGTTGGTCAGGATTAGGGTCATTGTGGGCGGCTAGTAGTAGCGGTGAATTGTCTCCTCAGCGTTAGGGTCGTTGGAATGGTTCGCAGTGAGTCGTAGCAGCTGGTTATCTCGCGGATTAAAGGGCCAGTGTCGGCGCTGAGCACTCGTGGGCTAGTTGGCCAGATTGTTGGAGTTTGTGGGGCAGGGCGAGAGAGCGTTTGGTTGGCTCGTGTGGCTAATACCGCCGACCTGCTGTGCCCTTGCTCCCTCATTGTTGACGGCGTATGGCCTTTTTTGTAAGTGTGTGCGCTTGGGGGCTTTTTTCTTTCTCTCCTCCCCTCTCTCCCTTTTCTTGCCGCGTCGTCGTCTCTGTGCTTATAGCGCCATTCAATAGCGCAGGGGTCAAGCCGAGTCGAGGAATTCCCAAGGAGCGATGACATCATTTTTCGTGACGCTTCAAGGAATCGGCTCAGAGGGGGGGGGGGGGTGCGCTGGGGGGTAGGGGTGCTGAGGGGGGTGCTGGGAGAGGGGGGGTGCTGGGAAGTGGGGTGCGCTGGGGGGTAGGGGGTGCTGAGGGGGGTGCTGGGAGGGGGTGCTGGAGAGGGGGAGTGCTGGGAGGGGGGGGTGCTGGGGGGGAGGGGGGTACTGGGAGTGGGGGGTGCTGAGGGGAGGGGGGTGCTGGGAGAAGGGGGGGGGGTGCTGGGAGGTGGGGTGCGCTGGGGGGAGGGGGGTGCTGAGAGGGGGGGGGTGCGCTGGGGGTAGGGGGCGCTGGGAGTGGGGGGTGCTGAGGGGAGGGGGGTGATGGGGGGAGGGGGGGGTGCTTGGAGGTGGGGTGCGCTGGGGGGAAGGGGTGCTGGGAGAGAGAGGGGGGGGTGTTAAAAGTTTAAGAAAACGAGACACGTCAACGAGGAACGTTTACACTCAATTACCTAGGCCCTGCGCGACTGACGTCACCTCTGCGCCAGTAACACGAGCAGGAGTAAGTCGTAGTCGTAGTAGAAGGAGCAGGAGTAAGGAGTAAGTGGTTGCTGCTACACGTAATTGCGTTCAGAATGTGGAACGTTGCGCCGTGGTGGAGTTTGGGGGGTGTGGGGTGGGTGGCGTGTACAGGAATCCCTGCACTGTAGAGCAAAATAGAATAAAACGTGGCAACAATCGCCAGGGCAAATGACGTCCGGAGAGGCAGGCGCCTCTCCACGCGAGTCCAATTTGCACGCGCGACGCCGCACGGAACTTTCGAGAAAGAGCCGCGTGCGGTCTCGAGACGTCCCGCAAGCTGCCAACGCCTCGAGCGGCAGTCGCTGCGTCCACGTGCCGTGCAGGCAGGCACGGCGCGGTTCGAGTCTAGCCCACGGTGGACACCAACCACACTCATCACCCACCTTGCTCTTTGACTGCTGGTCCGGGTGAGGTGGAGTAGTCTGGGGGGGGGGTGCTGAACCCCCTCCCCTCCCCCCACCCCGCTGAAAGCTCGGCCCCCCACCTTCTAAACTCTAATAACGTCTCTAAAAGTGCATCTTCTTGGTTCTTTCGGTAAAGTCACGTAGAATGGAAATAATAAAATAATAAAAATAAAACAGGTCTGTCGAGAAGACAGAGTCTGAATGACACACTCCAGGCTTGGAGCGACTAAAATAAAAATCTCTAAAAGTTGTGAGGATATTTCACGCCAGTGGCAATTAAAGCGTGAGAGAGGAGGGCAGAAACGCAGCGCCGACGCAGCGTCGATAGGAGCGGTCCTCGTTCTGTGTAAGCGTTCAAAGTGTGTCGTCAGCACCCCCCTCCATCACTCCCAGAGTCTTTTTGTTTGTGAGCCCCCCCCCCCACCACCAATTTCAATAAGGTCACGCTCAAGGGTTGGGAGCGGTATCATCGTTGCCCCCTGTGTGCGAGCCAAGCGTGCGAGAGAGTAACGTGTCGAGACCGTCGCATTCGCTTCGGGTGAAGATTTCATCCACACTTGCTGCTCTGTTTAACACGAAGTAGTAGTAGTAGGGGGCTTTCATGACCAATATTATCCACAATAGAGGTTTTTTGAGAGTTAGAGCGGGTAAATATGAATGTGCCGTTAAACCCGCCACCACCCGACACAGCCAATTGGTAAGGTTTGTCACGTGAACAAAACTAGTACAGCACTCCAACACCGGTGTGCTGGACTAGTAACGAATTTGCATGTTTTGTTTAGAATTGGCATGTTCTTGTTTATAACAAAACCTTACTCATTGGCTGTGTCGGGTGGTGGCGGGTTTAACGACACATTTATATTTACGCGATCTAACCCCAAAAAAGCCTCTCTTATGGACCTGCTGCTCCGCTACCGTGAGGGATGATGAAGATGAAGTTTATGATGCCGTGGCTTCTACTCCTTATGTAGATGGTGATGCACGCTCCTGCTGCTACTGATGATGCCACTGTTGATAGTCGTAATAATCATGATGCTGCCACTGCTGCCGTTACTGCTCCTATAATTATGAATGCTGCTGAGTCTGTTATTTATGACGGTGCCATTGCTGCTACTAATGGTGATCGTGCAACTGATGATGAATCGGCGTGCCAGAGTGCGTGCAGGCTGACATGTCGGCCTACTATAGAAATAAACTGTGCAGTGTGTAGGTTGCAGACACGACACCACGGATGACGACAGAGTGAGTCTTCCTGGCAGCAATCACATACGTGCATGCGTCTCCGATGGCATTATTAATACAAAACCGTGAAAAAGCGTGACTTTAAAAAGTCAACTGTTGTACAGGTTTTTTTTATTCAACGTCAGCATCTGTACCAAGGTCCCCCTCGCGTTTCTGGTGAGTGCGTCCTATTTCAACGTGATTTTGCCGACTCTGTGGAACGGCGGGGTGGGGGGGTCTATGGTGGGTGGGATAGGAGTGAAGAAGATCGGAGTGAAGTCGCGGTCGGAGCAGAGCGGGGAACGAGGGGGGGGGGGTGTCAAGCGAGCGGACAGGAACGAGCCCAAATGACGCTACTTTCGAATTCCCAGCAAAAAAGCCCAACAGGCGAAGCCGCTGACTCAGCGAACCTGCGATGCAGTGCACGGGAGGTGGAACGGACTTTGTGACACTTACGCGCCGGGAGGGAGCGAAGCTGAGTTTGCGGGCATGGACGACAGCGGAGAGCGAGAGAGGGGAGAGAGTGCGTGTGTGTGTGGGGGGCGGGTGGTGTGTGGCGAGGGGCGTGGGTCGTACTCAAAGTGCCTCGCCTCCCCACCATCCAACCCCACCACCACCACAATCACCACCGCCACTACTACTACCAGCAGCAGCAGCAGCAGCACCCCCCATCGGCACACCCCCCACCCTCTCCAACTTCCACTCGCTCCTCCTAGGGCACCGCCCAAAACCTCGTTCGCTCACTCTCACTGGGTAGCTCCCGCCTCACTCCTGCGCGCGTAGGGTCGCGTCACACTCCGATCATTACCTGTGTTGCGCAGGTAAGAGAGACATCGCCTCGCCAGTGTTTGGGTGCCCGGACACTTTCGGAACCCGTCCGTCCATCCGCGCGACGCGCACGCGAACTCACGAAGGCATCGGACCGAGGAGGAGAAGTCGCGGTCTTTGTTGTGTGACCAGCGCGGTGTTGGATTCTTTTTTTTTTGTTTAAAGCGAGTTATGTGCATAGCCAAGGTGCGAGACACAACGACGTTGTGACGGTGTGATCTTCCGTGCGTGCGTGCGTGGGTGTGTGAGTGAGTGTGTGTGAGTGAGTGTGTGTGAGTGCGCGATCGTTGTTCCTTGAGTGCGTGCCCTGCGTACGCGTGTACAATCAAGTGCGCGCTCTCTCTGCGGGCGTGTGCGCAATTGGGTCCGCGTGCGCGCGTGCGTGTGTGTGAGAGTGTGTGTGTGCTCCCCTCGAGTCCGCAATTAAGAAGAGCTTTGTGTGGCTGAGCTGTGTGCGCCGCGCATCGCACGCTACCGCCGCCGCTCCGCTTTGTGTGCATTGCGCGGGCGTGGAGCGAGTGCGGGACGTGTGCGTGCGTGCGCGCGCCGAAGCAACTCCAAACCGCACACACGCCTAGTCCCGTGACTCAGTCTCTCATCCTCTGAGCTCGATCTCCCCGTCTCGCCTACTCGCTTCGCTTCCGAGCCGCGCTGCGGACTCATTCCCGAGCTGCGCTGGGCCCGCATGGCGCTGTTGGCCATGCGCTCCTGCTGGGTGCTGCTGCTCGCTCTAGCCGCCCTGGCCGCATGGAGGCCCGGCCCTGGGGTTCGGGCCGACGGGGCATTCCGCTGCCCGACCTGCACCCAGGAGCGAATATCCCGGTGCCCGCCGGCGCCTCCGACCTCCGAGTGCGTTGAGTTGGTTCGGGAGCCGGGCTGCGGATGCTGCCCCGCGTGCGCGCTGGTCGAGGGAGCGCCGTGCGGAGTCTACACGGCGCGCTGCGGGTTCGGCCTTCGCTGCGTGCCACGGGGCGGCACCGAGAGGCCCCTGCACGAGCTCATCGAGGGGCTGGGCCACTGCGTTCGCGCCGGAGACGCAGGGGGCCCCACCGCTGAGGCCGACACGGCAGGTGTGTGCTGAGACCGCACGGCCACGAGCCAAACCCACCATCCGTTGTGAGCACGATTTAAATGGACGCGTGAGCGTGTTGAGTAATAATGCCTCCCGAATGTATCCAACAATGCCTCAATGAGTCAAAAGCGTTTTCGGGAGGGTCCTTCTTTGAAGTGTCTGGCCAGCTAGTCCCATTGATGACTGTGTTGCCATTAATTAGCGCTTCCATGATGATTGTTGACGCTATTTTCTAAGACCGTATTCACCCTTGAAGTTGAGCCTCGTTAACTATTTGGATTGGAGATTGAACGGGGGATACCAGGTGTTGTACGATTTGGCTTCGAGGTGGGTAGTAGATGGCAGCACAATGATGGATTCGTGTGTCCATCTGTGCAAAGTGAAGTTTTTTCGTATGCCTGGGTTTTCTCTGGGTGCCCTGGCTCCTTCCCCACATGCCAATTACTCATTAGGCCGAATGAAATTAGCCCAACGTCCCAATGTAGGCACATCCTCAAAATAACTCGGTGAACTTATTCTGGATAGATACAGGGCATTATTAGCATCGCAATTGTCTTCCACATTTATGATAATCACTGTCCCAGCCAAAGGAGGTTTCCTTTTGACAGAATGAGTCTGGGTATTATGCTTGGGCCTGCCTGTGACACAAGGAGCCGTGACACTAAGAAGGCACATCGCAAGATACATCCTCGTTATGTCGGGATCAAGACGTGCTCATTGCGTACTCATCGTTAACCACGGCCATGGGGAACAGTTTGTGAGCATCAGTAGTCGAGGCTTCAGTTCAGCATACACCCCCCTTCGTGTCTTTTGTGTCACTTTGTTGTCTCCACGAGCCCTGGGCTTTGTACGCTGCCTTTTCCAAGGAGCGACTCGACGTCGCTACTTTATTAAAATTAGCCCGCTTGCTTTCTATCCTAGCTACGAGTTGGTCGTGACGCGTTTCAGTTGTTGGGTTCTTTTTTCTTTTACCCGGCTGCCCATGACTGAGCTCCCATCTGAACTCCCCACGGACGGATTGTTCATGGTCGGGTGCCGTTTACTGCGAGTTTCGTATAGACGAACTTCCCGGCCACAAAGGCACATCCATCCATCCCCAACAACACCCACCCCACCCCCCCTGGTCACCGAAGCGCGCCCACCCCATGCGCACCGCGAAAGCCGCAACAACGCAACCGTGCGACTTCGCGCGTCTCACTCCGAGACCGCCGACAGCTTCCCCAACAACAACTAAAAAGCCAGCGCTGCATGACCGCTTTAGCGAATGGACAATTCGCCCCTTAATATAGCGCGGTTGTCCAGACAACGTCGGATGACTTGGATGATAACAACGCCCCTTTGGTGAGTGAGCGAGTCAGCGGGCAGAGAGCGCTGGGCCACGTTCCTGTGCGTGTCGCGGCGCGCTCTGCACGTGCACGGGGAGAGGAGTTGTGGGGGGTGGTGGTGGTGGTGGCGCGCGGGGATTGGGGTCGCTGGCTGGGTGGGTGGGTGAGCAGGCCGAGTCAAAACTCCAAAGTCGAATTATGAAATAGAATACAGTATGCAAAGAAAGGCACACGCTGCTGCTGCTGCTGCCGCTGCTGCCGCTGCTGCTGATGCTTGTTGCTGCTACTTCTCGCTAAGATTAACTGGCGTTCATTGGCCGGAGATGCCTGTCAATGTCACTTTGCCACGAGGTCAGTAACCCTACATGCCTAATACCCGGAGGCCCCATCCCTTTAAGTCACTAGAAAATACCCCCCCCACCCCACTCCTCCTCACCCCTCCTCACCCCCGCCCCTCCTAATCCATAACCCCTCTGAGTAGGTCACGAACATCACCCCACAGCGGCCGTGTTATACGCGCCGCTATGGGACCGTGTATAGGGTCACCATCGTAGCCATGTGACACGGCGCCGTGGGCCTGGTTGGTAATAACGATGATCACGTTGACGATGTTAACTATCCAACACGGGCTCAATTGCATGTTAAAAAAAATTTGTGGAAACAGAATGTATTGGATCTAAAACATGCCCCGAGAAGCCGCTGGCATCAGTTGTCGGTGTGTACGTTCTGCCAGATATGTTCGTTTCACCGAATCTCAATACTCGGAAAGATAACTCGCTCGGCCGATTTGTGCAGCAAACGCTCAGTGATCTCTGGCACGGCGCTTTGCACTGCTTCTTTATCAGCGATGGTGCTTGATGCGGGGAGGGGGAGGGAGGGAGGGAGGTGTAAAGTGCACGACTGTGTTCCACTGAGATTTTTCTCTTTTTTAAAAGGCACAGCTACCTTTATCATTTCCCTTGCGGAAAGACTTGGGCAAGAACAACGGCACGCATTCAGTTGCGAATGCAATGACGACTCTGGGGGGCCTGTGGTTAGCTGCACTGTGATACGAACTTGGCAACCCGAGTTCAATGAATTGCCGGCAACAGTCGGCAACACTGAAGACGAGTGATATCTTAATTGTCCCTGGGTCTAACCCAAACCTTCTTCACCAACCTTAGCACTGGTTAGTGTGGTGAAGTATGGTCAAACAATGCCCCCCCCCCCTCCCCGTAACCCATGTGAGGAGGCCTTCTTGCAATCATTGATTTATTAATGGTTGTAAAAAATTAGCAAGGCTCAGGCTAAAATGCAGGTCATTCTACAGTATAATGTAATCCCCTTCTATGAGTTAATTCCTTCAACATAGCATCTGGCTCCTGTTTTAGTTGCACGCACCTGGCTAAAACTATCGAGATAATAGAAAAAATAACTACAATTAACTGTCGGATAATGAATGATTTAAGCACATTGCCATTACATATGATTCTGTATATTCATACTAATGCACCATATTTCTCATTCGACTGAATTCATATATTATAATGTATCATCAACGGGCGCTTGTGCAGTTCATTGCTCACGTTTGCCACTCGCTATTCACGCGAAGTTTGCGGATCACACTTTGAAAACCCGACATTGTAGACCTCCGTGAGAGTTCGGTTCCAATGCCTCCGTGGCTGCACTCCCAACGGGGGGGCCTCACATGCCAATAACGATCTCCAGCACAGGCCAGCCAAGCAAACACGAAACTGGCCCAAGTATGGAGATATTTCTAAATGTGAATTTTGTCTGTAATTGTTTTAGTTTGTTTGTTTTTAACATGCATAAAAAAACACACACATACTGAAAATGGACTTGTCTCAACAATTAATTTGAAACGGGGAACATCCGGAAGGAGAACATCCGGAAGGAGAGGAGAATAGCGCTGTAAAAGCTGCGCAGGCACGGGCAGGTAGAGGCAGTGCTTCATTTCAACCCGAACAGTTTTGAACGCTTTTACAGGGGGGGGGGGGGGGGTTCTATTGGCTACTTCCACGTCCATCTCGCCTTATTTTCACCTCGCCGTAACCTATATTCGTAGAAACATGTCCACGCGATTCTAGGAATATACAATACAATAATATAGATGTGTAATCATAATAAGCATTGTACTCTAGTGACAGTGCTGGACTCCACGTAAACTCCACTCCAAGCCAGCAGGAGCAGCGTTCCGTAAAATATCGAGTGACAAATGAATCCCCTGGGTATGGGTATCTCCACAGTGGTGGGGGATGGGTTAAGGAGGAGGAGGAGGATGCTGGGTTGCCAGCTGGCAGGGCTGTGATGCGGGTGTCACTCAGGCGAGGGGACGTTAACCCCCTCCAGCACTCGTGAAGGCTGCCAGCCCCCGCATGCATGGCCACGCTGCCTACGTGACTGAGAGGGCACTCCCCGTTCGGGCACATCCCCCCACCACACACCGCAGCCGCCCCGCCCCTCGCTCGCTCGGATCCGTGTCAATCACACATCATCGTCCTCCAGCCACTGCTCGATCAAGGTCCCACAAAGCACTCGACGGCGCGTGCCCTTTCGCACGTGACTCCGTCTCGGGCTTCGCTTCAGTCGGCGCCGTCCACGCGTGCACCACCAACACCAAAACTGCTCTGCATGCAGTTATGAGCTACCGATCGGAGGCCGTTGGACTGCGAGAAGGGCTGCGTGCAGAATGAGAGAGAGCGAGAGAGAGTGACCGAGAGAGTGAGCGAGAGAGAGAGCGAGAGAGAGAGCGAGAGAGTGACCGAGAGAGTGACCGAGAGAGTGACCGAGAGAGTGACCGAGAGAGTGACCGAGAGAGTGAGCGAGAGAGTGAGCGAGAGGTGGGGGTTTACATAAACCAAAGTAAAAAAAATACGAAATGATGAACGAAGCAAAGTGCCGACTACACCGAGCATCTTCTTGTTTCCACTGATCGTAAAAAAAAGAGAGATGGAAACAAATGAAAAGAGGGGAGAGGGGGGGGGGTGCCCTAGCGAAATGCCGGAGGTGGGGATAGCAGTCGCATCAATGGTCATTGTTGGTCGCTCGTACGAGTCTCTGGTTAGTTGGTTAGGGCCACTGTTCGGGACGATGCAGTAAGCCAGCGTACGCTGAGCTCGTTGGTCAGGGGCAGAGTGGGAAGTCGATCAGGGGTTGTTGCTTTGTCAAGGTTTGTGTCGATGGGAGGGCTGGTGCTAGTGGCTGGTTTAGGATCACGTTTATGATCAGTGCTAGGACTAACACTCGCGGTTTGCCGGCTGGTTAGAGTAATATCATGAAGATTTTATTTCCCGGAAAATCCTGATTATCGTGACTCTTTTTTTAGGAAGTCCCTGCCACTGTTTCACGACTGGGGGGAGGGAGGCGATGGCTGCTGTGTTGAATCCCCATTGAGGTATTGGTTAGGGTCAGAGTGCGCGTTAGCGCGAGTATGAGTGGCTAGTTGGATGGTTCGGGGTAGTGTTTGTTTGGCTAGCATGTACCTCGCCAGGAGCAAAGTTACGGCCCCTCCAACGTTCAACGTCTGGAGCTTCAATCTACGGCTTCTACGCCATCGCTAGTGTTTTTTTTATGCCTGATCATACCAACTCGTTTGCTGCCCTCACCTCTCCGTTGAGTGTGGGAATAAGGGGGTGGCTGGGTCAGTGCGGTAGATATAGGGTGGCACTCGTTT